TTATAAACAAGTCTCGGAATAACGAGGTCTTATAGTTAAGCTCGACGATAGTGAGAATCGAGGAATAAATATCTCGAGAAACCAGGGATAAACATTTGTCGAGGCAAGGAATAAACATCCCGCGAATAGCTCTTGAACTATTAGAAACTTATAAACTAACCTCGAAATGACGAGATCTTATAGCTAAGCTAGACGATAGTGAGAAGCAAGAAATAAAAATGTGGCAGACGGGGAATAAACATCCCGCGAATAGCTCTCAAACAATCGAAGACTTATAAACAGGTATCGGAATGACGAGGTCTTATAGCTAAGTTCAATGATAGTGAGAAGCGAGAAATAAACATGTCACGAAGCCAGGAATAAGCATTTGGGGAGGAGGGGAATAAACATCCCGCGAATAGCTCTCGAACTATCGGAGACTTATAAACTGGCATTGATGATAGTGAGAAACAAGGAATAAACATCTCGCGAAATTAGGGATAAGCATCTGGCAAGGCCGTGAATAAATATCCCGTAAAGCTATTAATAAGCGTCTGGCAAGGCGGTGAATAAACATCCCGTGTAGCCAGGAATAAGCGTCTAGTGAGGCGAGAAATAAACATCTCGCAAGACCAGGAAATCCGTCTGGCGATTTTCCTATTCCTTTATTCAAAGAACAAGGACTCCAAGATGGCTCATCTTCCTTTATTTAAGGAACGGAGAGTAATAGAATGCTGCATAAGCTAGTCTTGAGCGTGTGAGGTCTTAGAGCTTGCCTCAAATAATTGAGGCGATCATCAAAAGGGCTATGAATAAGAGAAAATTGAGCTGGGTATTCTACTAATTTCAGGGTATGTGCCACCTACTATTACCATTTTCCAATATATGGGGGCAATAATAGGATAAAAATTCACTTCCAACAGTTAAATAAAGCTTCGTTATCATGCCCTTCTTGAAATTCTCCAAAAAAGAATTATTTGACAACATGGAGAATTGCTTGAACACCTAAAGAAATCGATTGGCAAAGTTACTTTATAATTAGCATATAAAAGAATAATTTTGCAGCCCCAAAATCCCTAAATGAGAATTAACTCTGCAAAATATAGGTATCCATATAAAGAGCACCAACACATATTCACTCGATGCCAAACCATTTTTGCAAGTTAATAAGAATAGAAGCCGTCAGTAGATTCCAATGACCATTTTAATTGCTATCTTCCATTATTAAATTAGAAAACTACCCGGTAGTTTACAAAAAGACAAAATCCATTTATCCCATTTTCAAATAGTGATGTCGGGCTTGCTCTTCCGCTTAAATTATAGATTGACAAATAAGCCCACTTTCAAGCAAAATTCATGGGGCCTAGTGAAGTTGAAAAACTTGGAAAAGAAAATATATAGAAGAGAAAATTACCCCAAACCCTACTTTTCAAAATCCATATTCAAAAATCAGGTGATAAGTTTAATCTTTCAAAAATCAGGTGATTTATATATTATTAATTCAATTAATTCAGAAATCAAGCCCACGTCT